TCGCTATGACGTGTGCTGACCACCAGGGGGCGGTGCATAATGAAGGAAGGCCCCAGCTGGCAGCTGGCAGCCCGGGAAGGAAGGCCCTGGCCGACAGCCAGAGGCCCTAATTGGCACTGATTGCTGGTCAGGCCTAGGGACCCTACGTGTGCACAAATTTCATGCACCGGGCCTCTAATGTGATTTATAAAAACGAATCAGAGACGAATTTTCATTTAATCCACACAGTGGAGTGGACCTTTGCCCCGGGCCACAGCTGTGTGCCCACAGGACAGAGAGAACAGGCGAGGAGGGGACTGCAGGAGACACAGCTTTGGGAGATGGAGAGCTGCACAGTGGTGACCAAGAATGCCCCGCCCCCTCTGCTTTGGGGAGGGCCTGCAGCCAGGGGTTCCAGGAGAGCGGGGAGGTCTGACACCAGCAAGCACACCTGACGGAGGAGCGGGAGGCCCACAGCCCTCCCCTGCGGCTCCAGGGCTGGCACTGTGCTATGTCTGCATCTGGGCAGGAGAGGCTGCAGCCTGCAGGGGCAAGGCTGGCTCACAAGCCCAGGCTCCCACAGACAGAAGGAGGGAGGCCCATGGCCAGGTCTGGAGGGGCATGCACCACTATCCCCCGTGTTCCAGGGACAGGCTCTTGTCCGAGGCCACGCTTAACTGTTGGGGAAGGTGAGAGACACAGCCAGCGAGGCAGCCACTCCAGCACGTGGAGGGAGGAGAGTGGCTTTTGGTGGCCGTCAGCTGTCTACCACAAAGGTGTCGAAAGATCTAACCTGTCTTTTCCCAAGAACCGGCAAGATGGCAGGAGTGGAGCAGAAGCGGCCCTTCCCCACGTTCTCCTACCGCGGCCTGGCTCTCCACCAGCGGCCTCAGCACCTGTGAGCAGCTGTGCAGCACCCACCCGCGCCCCGCAGGCGAGGAAGCAGCTCTCCTTGCACCTGCGCAGGCTGGGAGGCCCTGCCCACGGGAAGCCAGACGTGGTGAACTCGCACCTGCAGGACGTGACCACCTTGCACCTGCGGGACGCAACTGTCCTGCCGGAGACGGTGGCAGCGTGTTGGGTGTGTAACGGCAAGACCTTCAACCAGGAAATCAAGCCTGAGCTGATGGGCCACTACAGGGTGAGTTCTCCATCACCAATAAGCCAGCCTGGCATCGGAGCTGCCCGCTCCTCCTGCTTCATCCCTCTCACGTAGCTGCTAAAAGCACAGACTTACCTAAAAAAGGACCTAATCCCCAGACAGCCTTAGTCGGAAAGCTCTCAAAGGCCCCGCTCCTCCTGCTTCATCCCTCTCACGTAGCTGCTACAAGCACAGACTTACCTAAAAAAAGACCTAATCCCCAGGCTCTTAGTCAGAAAGCTCTCAAAGGGTGACCCTCACCGAAATGAGGACACAACCCAAGGAGGAGAGTGACAAGGCACGTGGCCAGCAGCGACTCCATCTGGGAGGGTGGCCAGTGCCAAAGGTCCTTTAGGCCCGGAGAGCCCTCAGGCCTGGTCAGATCACCAGAGGGGGGGACCGGCTCCGGAGGAGGCGGAAAGTCCGGTCAGAGAGCCTGGGCGGGTGACGACGGCACATAGAAATCTCAGGAAACAGACAAGCACCAAAGGAAGTTTTATAGGAAATAAATCTAATGCCGAGACACTGTATGACTCACCTGGAATAATATTAACATGTCGGAGCAGTAATGTAAACAGGGGGTGCTGATTTAATAAAAGGTGTAAGTACCGAGGCAGGGTCGGGGAGGGGAAGGGGGCGATGGGTAGTTGAATCTTAATGGGAAGTTAAATTCTAATCTTCTACAGTAAGTCACTCAGTAAAACCTAGAATGTAAAATCACGAATCTGCAGTATATGCACGTTATGCACAAATCGGACTGAGCAGAGAATGGCCATGGAGGGGAGAGCAGGCCTGGGGGTGGGGCAGTGCCAGCTGCTCTTTCTTCATAAATTATCTCCATGTGTTACTTTTATAAAAAAGGAAACTTATCTGAAAAGGAGGGAACAATATTTTACTACAATTTAAAAGAAACAGAAAGGAAAGGAAAGGAAAGGAAAGGAAAGGAAATAAAAGAAACAGGAAGGAAAGGAAAGGAAAGGAAAGGAAAGGAAAGGAAAGGAAAGGAAAGGAAAGGAAAGGAAAGGAAGAGGCCCCAAGTCTGCGGACAGAAGCACCAAGTAGGAGGCTTTGCCCAGCTATGGCCCAGGAAAGAGCTGTGCAGGTGAGCCGTGCAGGTGTGGGGTGCAGGTGCTGCATGCAGGTGGGGTGGGCTGAGGACGCTGGGGGGGCAGATGTGAACGTGAGAAGTATATCCTCTATAAGCGGTTAATCTCTCCACCCCTCAGGTGTCCCAGGGCTCCCGCAGCTTCCTGCAGACTCTCCATACATGTTCACTGGAGGCGGCGGCACGGACCCTAAGTCAGAAAGCATTTCCTGGGGGGAGGGGGGTGCAGCTCAGGGCAATGCCTGGCGCCTGCTGTGCGGGGCAGTGGCGGCAGCTCCCTGCCTCCCTCGGGTCACCTGGGCCCAGTCTTCTTTTCCTGGGTTCCATGTCATGTGCAGCACCCGGAGGGTGAGAGCGGTGGGTGCATGTTTGTGTGTGTACTTTCTCACACATGCACGTGTGCACAGGTTTACACATATGTGGGGGCGTGTGCATGTGTTGCGTGTGTGAATGTTGTCTTTGGGTGGAGGGTGGGCCTGTCCTGTTCAGTCTTGCTCCCTGCACACAGGAATGGCTCCCCCACCCCCGCATTGTCTTTAGAGCTGGCCCTTGGCCAAAGGTAAAGCCTGGGCACCCCCCCAACTCGGCCTCCTCACATTTTCTTCACCGGCCGCTCTGCATTCTCTCTCTTTCCTGTGACAGATCTGCTCCTGGAGGCTCTGAGGGGCTTGCGTTAGGACAGGATGAAGGGTTAAGCTACAGGAATGAGTGTAATGGTGGGTGTCAGGCCTCCTCCTAGGAGGGTTTCACTTGTTTGCTCTGGTTTGGTTTTGTCAGGGAACCTTCCCTGTGGCCCAGGAGCCCCGAAGCCCAGGCTCCTCCTGGACGCTGCTGGCCGGTGGCTCTCCCAGCAGGTGCCAGAGCATCTCCTGGGGCAGCCAGCTCCGGCCACCTGGGGCCTGTGCCTTTGTCTCCTGGGATGCGGCACCGCTCACTGGCCTCCCCTGTCTGCCCAGAGCCCCTCAGGCCAACCGCGTGCTCAGCGTTGGGGTTCCTCACTTGAAGCCTCAGAGCCCTCCTTTCCTGTCACCCAGCCCAGCTCCCGGGTGTCAGGACTCGGGCCTGACCCCGCACCGCATGCCTCAGTCTGGGCCAGAACCCGTGGCCAGGGCTCCTCTCTGCCCCGAAGCAAGGCAGCCTGGCCCAGGGACACTCTGTCCCCAGAGCTGGTGGGGAGGTTGGCGGGCTACCTCCCTTCTCCCCTGCTGCGCTGCTGCCCCCTGCTGGCCACCCTCACGCTCCCCGGAGCCTTCCCCTCCCTGCACAGGCACCTCTCCACAGGGCCTTGGTGCTTGCATGCTTCTGAGGACAGGGGGCTCACCACCTCGCGGAGCAGCCTGCTCCAGGCGGAGTTGCTTCCGCCTCTTAGAAAAGTTCTTTGAAGTGAGCTGAAGTCTGAGTGCTGGTTACATCCACCTGTTTATTCATAGTCAGACCCTCTGGAATCACACATTTTCTTCTTCATCATCCTTCTCACCATCATCTGTCTATGTACCAGGTGCATTGTGTTGTTCAATCCTTTCAACACCTGTGAGGTTGAGACCTGTGTCATCCCATCACACAGACGGGGAACCCGAGGCTCAGAGGAAGAGTGTCGCCTAGTGTGCCACACAGGCAGGAAGTCACAGGCCCCTCAGGCCCACCCCCTCCCACCCCCCGCTTGGGTCCCCCTCCAGCTTGTTTTTACCTCCCTGCCAGGCCCTGCTGCCCACATAAACACACACCTTCCCAGGCCCGGTGGGAATTAACTCCTCCTCCAGGAAGCCCTCCTGGCACAGCAAGGGTAGGGAGGAGCATTCCTTCCAACAGGGAGAGGGAAGGAGGGGAGGGGGTGACGGGCCATGTCTGCGATGTGGGTGAATCTGTGGTGACATAGTGGGGAGGGTGCCTGCTGCTCCTGTCCCCTCCAGGCCGGGCGGATGCCCCCACTTGCCTGGCAGGGCCCCGGGAGTCAGCCTTTGAGGGGCGTCCTGCCCCTCCAGCTTGTTTTTACCTCCCTGCCAGGCCCTGCTGCCCACATAAACACACACCTTCCCTGGCCCCATGGGAAATTAACTCCTCCTCCAGGAAGCCCTCCTGGCACAGCAAGGGTAGGGAGGAGCATTCCTTCCAACAGGGAGAGGGAAGGAGGGGAGGGGGTGACGGGGCCATGTCTGTGATGTGGGTGAACCTATAGTGACACAGTGGGGAGGGTGCCTGCTGCTCCTGCCCCCTCCAGGCCGGGCGGATGCCCCCACTTGCCTGGCAGGGCCCCACTTTGAGAGGCGGCCTGGACCTGCTCTCATGCTGGCCGTCGGCAGGATGCGGAGCCTTTGGCAGGGGTCATATCCTCTTGCAGGCCTGTGGCCAGGCTGGGCTGGCCTGTGAATAAAGCTTCCATGGGGCCTCAGCAGTGCTGAGAGGTGAGCTGGGCGAGCAGACTTGATTGCCTCTCGAAGGACAAGGGCAAGACAGGCTTAAGGGGCCTCCTGCACCCCAGCCTTCCCCGGGAGCACCAGGCCACATGCGGGGTGAGGAGCCGTGGCTGTGTGAGGGGGGACGGACTCTCCCCGGCCCTTTGATGACCCCGGCCACCCCCCAAGGCACAGTGCCCTTGGGCATACCAGGCACCCTCAGCCCTGGCTGCCACCGCAAGCTCCTTCCATTTCTCCATCTAACCACTGAGACCTCAGGGAGCGGCTCCAGTCAGGGCTCCCACGGGTGGAATGTTGCCAAGCTCCGGCCGAAAGCTTGCCTAGTGTTGGTGCAGGGCAAACCTTCCAACCCACCGGGCTCCTTCATCCACCCCGTGCTGGATCCATGCTGGGTGCCCAGGCAGTCCCTGCTTACATACCTCCAGTGACGGGAGGCTCATTAGCTCCAAGGCAACCGAGACTCAAAACAGCGAGGGCTTCCTTCCCGCAGAGCCGAGGTTTGTCTCCCCGAGGCCTCCTTCACGAGGCCCGGCCCTGCCCCCAGGGGCCCTCAGAACCAGCATAACCCTTTTCTACCATGTTTGGAGGAAGTTGACCAGCTTCCTGTTGAATCTTCTCTCTAGCCAAAGCCGAGAGAGGGGGTCAGTGAGAGAGCCCTCAGAGGGACTGGGGTGCCTGTCAGAGGGAGCGAGGCTCTCACTCCCACCCTCAGCTGAGCTGCTGGAACTCCGAGCCCCGGCCTGTCCACGTGGGGTGCAGAGTGGAGAGAGCTCTTGGCAGAGCTGACCTGTGTGTCCCCTGCCGCTTTGGGGGGTCTCGGAGGCCCAGGCCTGAGTCTTGCTGGGACGTGTCTAAAGCTAGAGGCTGCCCGGGGGTCCTGGCCTTTCCTGGGTGGACCTTGCGGGGGGCTGGGCTTGAGTGCCTGAAAGTTCCTGCCTCAGCGCTGACTCCCAGGACCCGCCTCCACCTGGGGCTGCAGGAGCTCCATGCAGCCAGGCCACCTCCCATTGCTGCTCCAGGTACAGCCATCACCCCTCAGCCGGCCCTGCCCACCCCCAGGTCTGGGCCCCGAGGGCCATGCGGGCGGTTCGCTGCCTTCCTCCTGAGAGCGGCTGGTCCCCCGCATCTCTCCAGGCATGGAGGCAGGGCACAAACAAACGCATAGAAGGAAATGCATGCGTTTGTCCCTGTTAAGTTTCATCTCGTTAGATCCACCCCATCGCTCCAGCCTGTCAGCTTCTCCTCAGATCCCAGCTCTGTCATCTGGCATATTTGCCATCGTCCCCCAGCTGTGTGGCATCCGCAAATTTGATAAAGAACGTGGAGCGTGTTTGTCTCGGAGGAAGCCCGCTCCCCGCACTGGGAGGCCGGAGCACTGGCGTGTGCGGGGGTGTGTGTGCAGGCCACACACACACACACACACACACACACAAACTCACTCACACACTCACACACACTCTTCCCTCTCTGGCCGCTCGGCAGCCCCGTCCAGCCACCGACAGGACCCGTGTGATCCTGGGACTCTGTGCCCCAAGAGGGCCTGGGCTCAGCAGCCA